AGTCTGTGTGTGTTTCACCCTGAAGTGAGTCTCCTGCAGGCAGCATACTAAAGGGTCTGTTTATTATCCAACTAGCCACCCTGTGTCCTTTAATCAGAGTACTTAGTCCATCAACACTTAAAGCAATTACTGATTTGTACGTTTTTATTGCCATTTTGTTACTAGTTTTCCAGTTGTTTTCATAGTTCTTCTATGTTCTTTTCTTCTTCTTTTTGCTTCTCCTGTCAAGGTTTGATGATTTTCTTTAGTAGTATGGCTGCAATCCATGGGGTCACAAAAGAGTAGGACACGACAGAGTGACTAAACAAAAACAATGCTTCCATTCCTTTCTTTTTGATTTTTGTGTATCTGTCGTAGGTTTTGGGTTTGTTGTTACCTTGGCGTTCACATGTCTTGACCCATAATCATATCTACTAGATTTACACTGATAAGTCATTTAAGTTCAAACACACTCTGAAAGAGCTACATTCTATACTCTCCTCCCCCACATTTTGTGTTTTTGGTATCATATTTTACATCTTCCATGTTTATCCCTTTACTGTTTTATTCTGGCCGATTATGGTTGAATATTTACTATATCTGATAACAATATAAACTCTTTTACAAATAGTTAAATCAAGATTATATATACATTAAAGTGTTTGTCATTCAGAGGGATACTAGGGGTTCACACTAATTTCTAACACCTCAGAACTGACAAATGGGTGAAAAACATTAACCAAGTTTGAATAAGGGGAAATGTCCATTTCTTTGTGATTGATCTGTTTTTTACGAATGGAAATTGTCATAATCTATGAGTTCCAAGCTGGAAAGCATGTCTGCTATTGGACAGAAATATGGGCATTATGATATGTAACTCTGTTCAGTGTTACTTCTTTTCCCATCAACTCGCTGTTAAAAGTTTATGAATATGCTTACAAATAATATCAAAACTCACTATAAAATGCATTATTTAAGACAGTAGCATTTTAATCCATAACTTGCTATGGAAAATATAAATAAATAAACCTAGTTTTTTCATTTTTTTTTTCTAATCAAATTACAACATTCCTGTACTTTAAATTATTTTTCACTGTTTACATAATTAAGTTACTACCTAAGGTAGAAGGCAGCATCCCTGCAAAGTCTTCACTATGTTAAGGTCAGATAATCAATTTCCTATCCCCAAAGACACAACTAATAGAGTACAGAGAATTATCACTAAATATTAGCAGATGCTTTTGTTAAGATGAGCTTTTATGGGGACTATTACAATAATGGAGTAGGAAGGAAATAAAATTTCATGTATCTCTGTGAATTCTGTGAAAGCCCCATAGTTTTTTTGTTTTAAACTTATCATTATTTTTAATACACATACATGTATCTATTCTTCTTTAAATTATTTTCCCAATTAGGTTGTTACAGAATATGGAGCAGAGCTCCCTGTGCTATACAGCAGGTCCCTGCTGGTTATCCACTTTAAACATAACAGTGTGTGTATGTCCGTCCTGAACTCCCTAACTATCCTTTCCCCCCACTTCCTCCTTGGTAACCACATGTTCATTCTCAGTCTGTGAGTCTGTTTGGTTTGTAAATAAGTTCATCTGTATCATTTCTTTCTGGATTCCACAAAAAGCAATGTCACATCATGTCTCTTTCTGTGTCTGGCTGACTTCACTCAGTGTTGACAGTCTCTAGGTCCGTCCATGTTGCTGTAAATGGCGTTACTTTATTCTTTTTATGGCTGAGTAATATTCCACTGTATACATGTACCACATCTTCTTTATCCATCCATCTGTCGATGGACATTTAGGTTGCTTCCATACCCTAGCTATTGTAAAGAGTGCTGCTGTGAACACTGGGGGTGCATATATCTATTTTCCTTTACTGTTTATCGTAGTCATAGTTGCTTTTATTATTTTTTTGGTCATTTAATTACACACTGGATTATTTAAGTGATTGTCTTACTCCATATTTGCCTTTCCTAATGGGATTTTCTCTTTCCTATATTTTCTTACTTCTTTTCCATTTAGAGAAAGCCCTTCAATAATTCTTTTAGGGTACATTCAGTACTGCTGGAATTCTAGTTTTTGCTTGTCTGAGAAATTCTTCATCTTTTCTTCTATTCTAAATTATAATCTTGCTGGGAAGCGTATCCTGGGTTGTATGTTCTTCTTCAGCACTGTGAATAAACTGTGACACTCCTTTCTGGATGCCAATAGCCTTAACCAGGAAGCTCATGTAACTGACCCCTCGTTTTTCTCTTGTTGCCTTAAGAATTCTTTAGCTTTTGCCATTTTAATGATGTGCTGGTGTGGGTTTGATTAGGTTCATCTTGTTTGGGACTTTCTGTGCTTCCTGTACCTGGATATCTGTTTCCTTCTTTAGGTCTGAAAAGTTTTCAGCCATAATTTCCTTGGTTGAAGACATTTTTTACGCTCCCTTCTCCTTCTAGAACTCCTACAACGTGAATGTTGGCACATTTGATGTTACTGTAGAGATCCCGTATGTTCCGTTCATTTTTGTTTTGTTTTGTTGTCTTTCTGTCTACTGCTCTGGTTGGGTGAGTTCCATTACTCTCTCTTCCAGGTCATTTCTGTGTTCTTCCGTGTCATTCCATCTATTATCCATGGCTTCTAGAGTGCTCTTTAATCTCAGATATTGAATCATCTATTTCTGATTGGGGCTTCATTAAATTTTCCATTTCCGGTGCTTCTGTTCAGGGGGTAGGTGAGCCCCGCGCCCTCACTCCACCGCCTCACGCTCGTCCTCTGTGTTACTGTTTGGTGGCACTGTTGGCAGTGAGATCGGCACTGTGGGTCTCACCCCACGGCCCCAGGCAGCCTAGCTGTGACCACAACCCTGGAGCCTGGGCACCACGATAGTCAAGCAGCTCGACCTTCCTCGCTGAGTTCTCTCGCTGCACCTGGCAGCAAACAGGGCCAGTGAGAAACTCAGACCTGGGGGCCAGTGGAGGAGAGTCAGGAGCCAGAACGGCCCTGGACTTGCAGGTGCTGGATCTGAAACTAATCTGAAAAGGAGAAACAAGAGAGTTCAGAAGGATGGGAAAGTGCATCACGTGAGCGGCCAAGGCAAAGGTGCATCTCCAAGAAGTTCTTTCTTAAACACACACTTTTCATGCTGAAGTTAAAGTAAAATTCTCATTTTTAACCTCGACGGCATTTTCAAACACAGTCTGCAGATAAACCTTTAAATAAGTCTATCTAGATTTGCTTCAGTTTCCGGGGAACCTCATTCAGTCACCTCAGCCTTTCTCTGTGTGGCATTCAGGTCCGTTTCTCTCGCTCCCTTCAGACACTACCGTTCCCTTACAGCTGTTACCCGGCATTCTCCTTCCAACATGGGGATGACCTGCGATAAACTATGAGGTGGAAAAGAGCAACAAACAGGGCATGACCTGCTAGGCACGCAGCCAAGCACCATGTGTGCACAGCAGGAGGCCTGGGAGGTGACAGCCCAGGTGGGCCTGGCCACTCACTGACTGTGGGGACTCCCTGGGAGAAAGGTGAGGGCTGTGCCACGGGCCCATTTAAAAGGAGTGTGACCTCCTGAGTTCCTGAGACACGGACACCCTCTCCTCCAGACTTCTCCTGTTTGCATCCTTTTGTCTGTGAAGACACCCTGCACGGTGTCCGTGGGCTTCAGGGCAACACTGGGGAGGAAGAAGGAAGAACAGGTCTTCCTTTGTAAGTGCACATTTCTAACAAACATACATGGTGAAACACTGTTTTCCAGCATGTGCTCATAGATACAGACCACTCTGCACACGTACGACGTGATAAAAGCACATCTGATTTCACAGGTGAGCAAGCCTGTCAGCGCCCAGGACTCCTTCAGCAAGTGGTGGAGCAACACACCCGGAGCCACCCACCTGGGCACTGGGCGGCGGTGACTCCCGAGTGGCCCCTGGCGCCACCTGTTTCACACATGATGATCTCAGTGGCTGCGGACACTCAAGACAAGTGACAGCTGACTGAATCAAGGCACTCTTGCCCCACACACGAAGCACAGACCGAACAAGGAAAACTGTTCTCTGACTCGTGAGAGATTCACACGCAATCACACATCCACATACACCTGCTTCACACCTACCAGTGTAAGTTCAACGGCAGGGACGCTACAATCTCAACTTGCCATCAAATTTTATCAGTCTACTTTTATCTTTTTTCTCCTAAAAAGATAACGGTTTACAGTAGAGAGTTGTGAAATTGAATTTGGAGCAACTTTTTCTCCATTTCCATGTGATCCATGTGCTCTAAGAGACATGCTTTCAAACAAAGCTCCACGTTGCTTTTCTCAGTTAGAGATGGGCTAGTAGCAAGATCACAGACCACGGCAAAACACACACACACCAAGAGGCATTCCAGTTCACGGTTAGGGTTTTAGTTCTAGCTTTAAAAGTAGGTAAAGCGATATTTCCAAAGGATAAAAATACCTTAACTGTGTCCTTTTAAGTAAAGGTGAACTGAGAAGTTAGGGCCCTTGAATTCAAAAGCTCTTGTTCACTTTTCTAGCCACTGACATTCTAGAAGAAAAACAATAAACAACCAGTAACCCAGGGCCCGCTAGGCAGGTGCATGTCCCCACTGAGACAGACATCACTGCCTGCCACGGACACACAGTCCTATCGCCGACCTCCTGCAGAGCTCGTCACTGCAGCCGTGAATCCTCTGTGGGCCGGCCCAGCATCATCTCGGGCAGCTGAGGCCTGTGGAGTCTTCACGGCACCTGCAAGCCTCTACAGTGGATGCAGGACTCAGCAGCATGAGTGCTGGTGAGAGGAAAGCCCACGGGTGCCGAACCTGGGCTCTAATTTCCCTGTAAATGGCGAGGTTTTCAACTGGCAAGAGAGGGGAACCTCGAGGGACCCACTTAAATGACCCATCCGTCGCCTCTGCCCCTTCTGAATAGCCCAACACTGCATGCCACCCCCCCGCCTCAGTGCAGCCCCCACCGGTGTGTTACTCGTGAGCCCTGCTGCAGTCAGAAAGCGGGGGTACTTGCCGCTGAGCAGAGGCTTGTTGAGGGTGTACAGCGCGGGCAAGTCCTCGATGTTGGAGATGCGCTGGTACATGGCCCTGGAGAGGTGGTCCCCGTGGTACAGGCTGCCCAGAATGATGCTGGAGAAGTAAATGGGCTCCACGAAGATGCTGAGCAGGGACCCCTGGATGCCCACCACATTCCACCTGGAGGCAGAGGAAGAGGCCTTCAGCACGGGGTCCCTTTGGCCTGGGCCCTCCATAGCGCTGTGCTCATGTGGGCATGCTGCTCATTCTGTACAAGTGTTAACCAATTTAAAAGGCAGTTAAATAACTGACTGGGGTTCCCTGGTGGCTCAGCTGGTTAAGAATCTGCCTACAATGCGGGAGACTTGGGTTCGATCCCTGGGTTGGGAAGACCTGCTGGAGAAGGGAATGGCTATCCACTCCAGTGTTCTGGCCTGGAGAATTCTACGGACTGCATAGTCCATGGGGTCGCAAAGAGTTGGACACGACTGAGCAACTTTCACTAAATAACTGACTAAGTAAGATTCTAAAGAGAAAAATCTACTTAATTATTTTATGCTGGAACGATCTTTTGCCTCCATGTTTCCCAAGATGACACATTTACCGAAGATGAGTTCTAAAAACATATCGAGCCACGTTTCTTGTGAGAAAAATCAAAAGAAAAAATAAACCTTAATTTCATTACTTCTAATAAATAAAAAAAACGGCAGCTCCAGAGGGACGGAAACTGGTCTCCTCCTGCTCCCTGGTGGCGGCACTGATTGTCTTGACCGTGCACGTCACTGCTCTGAGCCCCACAGACAGCAGGAGAGATGCCCTCCATGGCCTCAGGGCTCCAGGTCCCAGCACCCAGGGGGCAAAGCTCACTGGCTTCAGGTGTCTCTTCCCTCACACCCCTTCCCCAGGCCAGCAGCATGGGCATCCTCTGCTCCCTGCAGAGCTCCAGCCCTCAGCCAAGGGTCCCCAGTGCCCCCACCTTGGTCTGTGCAAAGTCCTTGTCTCTAGGCACCCCCCGCTCAGCTGTCACTGGAGCCCACCAGGTGCCCCCTCTGCTGAACCCCTGCAGATCTTACCATCTGTCCCCCACCTTCTCCCATCAACAGGGTCCACGCGGGAGGGATTCGTCTGTTTAGCACACTAAAACATCCCAGCATTTAGGGACCTGGCCTCACAGTGCAGTGTGTGCTGACTGGACAAATCCCCGGCTCCCCCCACCCTCTAAGAAGGAAATTAGAGCACAGGTTTTCTCCTATCTAGCAAGGAACAGTAAGGAAGGATTCAGTGCGCACAAAACCCACAGGGAGCCCTTTCTTATGTAAATCAGAGGCTTGTCAGGGGGTTTAGGCCCCATTAAGCTGAATTCAGCCTCCTGGGGCAAACTTCAAAACCCTGCTCTTGCAGAAACCTATACGAGTTACAAGTCATTAATTCTGAACACATGCTTCGCAAGCGAATCCTAGGCCCCGATTGCTCCACGGAGGCCCTGGTGGGAAGTGGTCCACCCACTCGGCTCAGCTCCCCTCGTCGAGCCTCACGGGGAACACGGAGGGGCCGACTTTACCAGCAGCAAACATGCATGGGGTGTGCGTCGTACAAGCCCACCGCCCCCAGCAACCACCTCTGAAAACTGGCTGTCCCTGTGACCCCACAGCCTCCCCATGACAGGGGGGCTCACAGTCAATGCCCCCAGCCCCCTCTGTGTCTGGGGGAGGGGGAGGAGGCAATGGTGGGGGATAGGGCTCTGCATGGTCGCGCACACTGCTGCCCTCAGGCAGGTGGTCTCTGCTTCCTCCCCAGCTCTGCGCAGAGCACAGTAGGCTGTCCTACTCCCTCCCACGGCCCAGTCAACCAAATTCACCCAGAGGTGAGAGCCCCCGGGACCCCTCACCACCACCCCCCCACTGTGGTCTCACCGAAGCCTGCCCACTGCCCTGACCCCTCTGGGACCGGAACCGTCTGTGGGAGGCAGCCCTGCCCTCTGTGAGACCCAGGCCAGCCCCCCAAACCCTGTTCATGGTGACCATGTGACTGCCAGAGGCAGGGGCAGCCCTCTAGGGGCACCAAAGATCAGAGGGTGGGAGCTCAGCCCCGCCCCCGCTGGGGTTGAATTAATCACCAAAGACCAAGGATTCAATCATCTGCATGGAGACCCCAGAGGACAGGGCTGGGAGTGTCCTCCGCCACGCCCTGCTGCCTTAACCACTCAGTGAGATGGGCTTACTTTTCCACTTGAGTGTCAAGTGCTATGAAAAATGATGAGATTTTGATCGAAGTTACAGATTGGGAAGAAAATCAAGCTACTGGAAATAATGTTGGATGTGGCATATATGTGGATGTTTTAGATTAGTGGACGGCTTGTCATTTTGTTTCCCTTCCTGGCTTGGTCTGGGGATAAGGGATGAGCTGGGGCCCTTCCCCACATTCCTGATCTGTAAAAATGACTGTATGTATGAAGAGGATACCTCCCCAGAATGCAGAGAACTCACTCAAGGGTCTCCTGCAAGAGCTGCATCCTCTTTCTCTGCAGCCACCTCTTTGATTTTCCCCAATTTATTTACTTCTTGGGAGTGAGGGCGTGACTGGTTTTTCTTAATGTTTGGAACTCCATTCAAATTTCTTACACATGCTTGAGTCAATTTTAGGAACATACATGTTTCTACAAAGCTTCTATGTCATCTCAGTTTCAATGGTGTCCGTAACTCTCACCGCGGCCATCTGCGCACGTGTCCGTTCCTACTAGATCCTGACACCCTTTCCCCCTCCCCTGACTTGGCCTGGCTGCACCCTGTGTCTCGGTCAGACTTCCAGAGGTCTGCCAATTCTATTACCTTTCTCAAAGTAGCACCCTGGGTTTCTGACTGTTCGCTGCTCATCGCTGCCGCATCGAGTACTAACGTCTGCTCTCTGTCCTTCCCTCCCGTCTGCGAATTTGGACTTGCTCTCTTGTTCTCGGCTGTGGTGTTTGATGTCGTTCACTTACGACCATCTCCTTACTTCCCCTGCAATTGCTTCTGTGAGCTGCTGAGGCTTGATGGACATACAGTGCCCTGCCTGGGGTTAGAGCACAGAATTTGGGGAGTCCTGGCATGCAAACACCCTCCTGAGCCGGGAAGATCCCCTGGAGAAGGAAATGGCAACCCACTCCAGTATTCTTGCTGGAGAATCCCATGGACAGAGGAGCCTGGTGGGGTTGTCACCAGTCCACGGGGTTGCAAAGAGTCAGACATGACTTAGCAACTAAACCACAACCAAACCCCCACCCCCAACCCTCTAGTCTCCTCCCGCCTTACTCCAGGCCTTCCTGCCCTTCCTGCTCTGCCCCATCCCTGGGCCACCACTGACCTGCTTCTGTCACTTTCTAGAAATCTACAGCAATGGAATCACATGGTAAGCACTCCTTTGGTTCCTGGCATGGCTGCACAGTTCTTCTGCGCTGTGACCACATACCACTGACTAAACATCACAGCTTATTCTGTCCCTTGCCTGAGCAGTGCCCCAAGGCACAGATACTCCCATTTAACCCTGTTTAAAGACTGACAGCCGTTCGAGCTGTTCCCAGATGTGGAGAAACAGCTTCAATCACTCCAGTGTGAGCCTGCATGGACAGTGCTTCCATCTCTCTCCAGAAGCAGGAGTAAAGTGAAATGCCAGAAATGCCTTTAACATCTAAGACACAGGTGAGCTGTCCTCACAGTTGGCTGCAGTGTCTGTCCCCAGCCTGGGAGGACGACGCTCTAGGGATTGGGGTCCCCACCATACCCGACAGGGCTCTAACCCTGGAGTGAAGAATGTGCTCTCTTAGGACATCTTTTTTGGTAAAGTGTCCATTAAAATATTTTGCCCATTTTAAAAACAGTTTTTTCCCCCTTGTTGGTTTTAAAAGTCTTTGTATAGTGTGGATCTAGGTCCTTTATCAGATGTACGATGTGTAAATATTTTCTTCTAGTCAGTGACTTTCTCATTCTTTTAACAGAGTCTTTCAGAGAAGCAATTTTTAATTTGATTATGCCTAACACCATTTTTTTTTCCTCTCAAGGAGCGTGCTTCTGATGTTGCATCTAAGACATAACCCATCCCAGTGGCCATGATTTTCTCCTCTTTTCTTCTAAAACTTTTACACAGTTAGGTCTATGACACATTTTCAGTTAACTTTTGTATATGGTGAAAAATAGGAAGCACACTTGTTTCTTTTTACATAGGGTGTTCAGTTGTCCCAGCATCATTTGTTAACAACACTATTCTTTCTCTACTGAACTGGCTTTGAACCTTGATCAAAAATCAGCTGTGACCAACAATGAACTTGTGGGACTTGAAGTTTAAAACACAACACCGTTCACATTAACACCTCCCAAAATTAAATATTTAGATACAAATCTAACAAAAATACAAGACCTCTACAAGGAAAACTATAAAACTGACAAAAGAATCAAAGAATTAAGTAAATGGAGAGATAGCCCATGTTCATGGAGAGGAAGACTCGATTCTTCCCAACCTGAGCTGCAGACTCAGCACAAACCCATCAAGACTCTAGCACAGCATTCCGCAGATGCTGACAAACGGATTCCGAAGCTTACATCAAGGGGCAGAAGGCCCAGAAGAGCCTATACAACACAGGAGAACAAAGTTGGAGGACTGACCATCTGACCTCAAGACCTACTATGAAGCTACAGTAACTCATCTCGTGATTTATCAGAAAAGTACACCTGGTCATTCAGACGATCAGAAATATATTTTTCTTATATACGTTTGGTCTTCTTCTGGGGTTCCTGGCTTACAGCTCCTAGGCCCTGGGAACTTCCTAAGTGATTAACCATAGGTGTCTATGTTAATGAGGTAGATTGTGTCACCCACCTGAGGATGGGGGGCTAGTTGGCTGTGGAGCCAAATACTGATTACATATGGTGGGAACTTTCAGCCTTATCTTCTTGACCTCCCAGTAAGGGACACCGGCTGGAGGCTGAGTTCCCATACCAACAGCCATGATTTTAATCAATGGTGCATTTGTAGTGAAGCCTCCATAAAAACTCAAAAGGACCTGGCTCCAGAGCCTCTGTCCACAGAGACCGCACCTCTCTTCTCAAGGTGGCCCCTGAAGCACCTTTTAAAACCTGAGTCCTTCAGTGAATCTGTGGAACACATGCCCGGGTGTCTCTGGAAACACTCCGGGGCCCCCAGGCATGCAGGGGTGGGGGCGGGCCCAGGTGTACATCCAAGGGGACTTACCTTGCCATCTTGTCACTGCAGGACATGGTGAGCAGCCGCTCCCCCTGCAGCACCCCGTCCCATGTCTGGACGCTGGCGTTGGAGCGAACGGGGATGGTCCCCTCACCAGACTCTATCTTCGTCCGCAGCTGTCCTCGGGCTTTTCGATTTGGATGTCTATCTGCTGGCTCTAAGACAGAGACACAAGGTCCTCTTGAGAGGGTCTGCTGGTCAACCATCTATTTAACTCACCAGAAAGCATGTCTAACAACACTCTATCAATTCAAAATGCGATTCACACGCATGTGTGCATGTGTTCATTCTACATGCACCTAAGACATGTATGTGTGTTTGATGCAAGCACAAAAAATTGGACAGGAGGATACAATACAAACCAAATTCACAAAAATGGTTTCCTTGGTGGTTGGGAGAAAAGAGGGCCTCCACTTTAACCAAATGATGTATTTCTAGGATTAGAAACTAGCTAAAGCAGACAGAACACAAGGCTGACATTTGCTAATTCTAGGTGATGGATATTACAGTACTTGCTATATTTCTTTGCTGCATATTTAAATTTTCAAAAATAAATCTATAGGGATGTGGAAATAAACCCATAGGAAACATTCACAAACACCCAGAGATTTTTTTACACGAATACAGTGATTTAAATGTTACTTTTATGTTTTAAAAATATTTGTCAATTTCTACAGTGCATACTTGCTGCTTTTTATTTTTTTTTTATAATTTTGTTTTTTCTTTTTAAAAATTTTTATCTATCTATTTATTTATCTGGGCTGGGTCTTCTTTGTGGACTGCAGGGTCTTAGATCTTGGTTGCAGCACATGGGATCTTTAATCGCAACATGTGGGATCTAGTTCCCTGATTAGGATCGAACCCAGGCCCCCTGCATTGGGAGCGAAAAGTCTTAGCCAACTGGGTCATGAGGGAAGTCCCCACCTGTTGCTTTTATAATCAAGAAAAATAATGTAATCAAATGTTCTATTTGGAACAAATAGTGCTTAAGCTCATAAGTAGAGTTGTGGATACAAATTACTATGAAACAAGAGCACGAACAAGAATGAGAGGAACACGGAGGTCAGAGCGAGGCCTTCCTGTCCATCGACACCTGCTTCTGAGACTCGGTCACACTCTCGTGATATCACAACCTACCAGAAACACGGACCACGATGTGCATTTCCAATCTAGAGATGCATGTCATCCAAATTCAAAATCTGAACACAATTTTGATTTAATATCCTCACTCTAATTTCTTATTTGAATCTACATTTTCATTCATTAAAAATTTAAAATTACTAATTGAGAAGAAAAGTTCATGTTTTTATACATTCTTATCAGATTCACATCCAAGGTTGAAATTTTTGAAGAAGAAACGATATTAATACAGGTTTGTCCTTTTCTCTGTTACAACACAGTCATGAACTTTCTTGGGAAGCAGTGGCTGCCGCCGACCCTGGCATGGTACCTTCCAGGATGGGTTCGTGTGGTGAGAAGATCCTGGCGTCCCCACAGGGGGAGGTGCTGATGTACAGGTGGAACTGGACATTCTCCTTCAGCTTGAAGCCGCCCCGCTCGGACTTCTCAAAGATGGATCTCTTTTGATCATCTTTGCTACTGAAAGGAGTAAGTTGCAAAGATAAACCTTAAAGCTGAACACAATCAAAACTCAGTCTCTCATAGCTTATGGTGATTTTCAAAGGCCAGTGTTTTCAACAGGGTAAGATAAGCTTGCACTGGGGTATTTACTTGACATGTTTATGATAATTAGCACGGCTCCCGTCCGCTCACCAATGAGATAGGTCATCAGCACACAAGTGACCCTGTTCTCCTCATTCACAACTTCAGAACAGAAAGGCTGCGAGTAGGACATGGCCTGCTGCAGGAAGCAGTCAGACTCAACAGTCAGCCATCTGGGCATGGTGACCTCCCCAGCACTTATTCCTGTATAAAGCAAAAGCCTGGGGTCTGGAACACAGACATGACCCCTCTGACTGCATGCATGGCGGGTATGTATGTGGGCATGTGAGTTATATAATTCAGCCAACTCTACTTGACAGTCTGAGCTTCAAGAGCAAAAGGGATCCTAAACTGTAACCCAGAAAGTTACTACATTGAGAATTTTTCAGTGATGACAGACACAGTGAAAAGGATGCAATCCACTTTGATTGGAGGAAAATTTTTTTTATGGAAAACAGCTTCCTTCACCCATTTCCTCAGACACTCACTTTAAGTAAAGCTCAAGCTGTGTGTAGAGAAACCTCAGCAGGGATCTGCGGGCTATGATCTCCGCGTGGCAGTCGTTGAGTGCGAGCCCACGGTCACTCATGTACTCGCCATTGATACACTTTGTTCCCGTGGAGATGCTGATCACCTTGGCATCCTTCACATCTGTGCCTGGAACAGAGGAGAAACCATCTCGCGATTCCTCTCCAGGAATCAGCTCAGCCAGCTGGGCTGAGGAGATACTCCAAGAAGAGAGGGCCCCGAGACAGCCCCAGCCCCAGCCCCCAGGAGCCGAAGGTCCTCCGGCCGCCCCAGGGACGCAGGCACTGGCCGTGGTTGTGGTTCCTGCTCCCAGGAGTGGTCCCTGTAGATGCTGCTCAGGGGGCTCACTCCTGGGAGGTGGAAGAGGACTTGGGGAGGGATCCCTTCACAGCTGGGAACTTAGGGGCAAATTTAGCCAGGTTTCTGTTGCCATCCCTGAGCGTGTTTCCCCCACAGACTCCCTACGCTTATAGAAGCCTCCTCTCGCAGGGAAGGGTTATCTGGCAACAGTGACATGAACTGACATACCAGAGACGGCTACTCTCAGTGAAGCGAAAACCAACAGGTTTCCTGCATTTCCCAGACTTGCTCAAGATGATTCATATAAGATTACTGGAATCAAATACTAATACAGGACGCTTTCTCCAAACAAAACACTCAGGTTAAACAGATGAAATGGTGGGGGAAGAAACATAAGTGCAGCTCCTCCAGTTGCACACAGCAGACATTCTGAAGGAGAATGAAAAAGTAGCCTCCTGCTGCTGTCAGAGACTTCTGTAGACTGAGAGTGGGTCTTCTTCATTAAGTGTGAGAATACGCAGTAGACACACACCGACATGGTTACCTGTTGTCATGACGATTCCAGCAAGGACCTTCCTGCGTGCGTGGGGGGAGGCGAAGCTGTCTGTCAGGTCCCCAAACTTATCCAGCACCAGGCGGGCCACGGCATCGGCCAGGACCTGAGGACCAAGAGGGGGTCAGCGCCCTCTGGGGTTATGTTCTGGGGCCTCTTCTCTGAGCCACATGGTAGGTCTGGCAAATCAGCACATGCACGCATGCATGCACACAGTTTTTCCTCCAAGACATTTCTTGGAAACAGGCATCCAAGGGGCATAGGAGGGTCTCTACAGACAGGCTGGTAGGAGCCCAGCCACGTGGGAGCAGCACAGAGCAGCTAAGGCCTCCCATCCCAGCCCTGTCTCCAGGGGGACCCCAGGCCCAGGGCGGCAAGGTCACCTGCTTCCCTCTGTGGCTTGGAACCAGAGCTCTGAGTCCTGCAGCCACACTCCCCAAGCACTAGGGCTTCTGGAGGAAGTAAGACCACAGGAGGGACCGACCGATCACCTCAGGGCAGAAGCCAGAACGGCCCTGCAGGGGACACTCAGGAAGGAAAGGGGAGTCAGAAGGGAAATCATATCTCAGCACCTCCCTCCCAAGGCACCAGTCCAACTGTGCCTGTTACTTCCGCATCTGAGACCAGTGAGCAGCACCGCTCTGAGCCCCATAAGCGAGGTGTCTGCCCCCTAGCTGGGACGACGGGAAGGCTGCAGGGCCACTGTGCACAGCGACTGCTGGTCACGTCTGGGGGGCGTGCAGCACTGTTCTTGGGAGCAAACGGCTTCCAGAGTGTGGACCTGGGCCTTCTTCTACAGCATGGACTGAGGGACCCCTGTGTTCTGGGAACAATGCTTGATGGGAGGGGGTGCAAGAAGTTACCCACTTCCCAGCAGCTCACACTTGTCTCCAGTCCCCAGCTAAGCCCTCAATGAAACACTCCTGAATGGACAGAAGAGCCATCATCCTCAGTGGCAGCTTATCTGGAAAGAACAGTCGTCAGGATATTGTCCCATCCCCGCACCAGTAACGAGCCCCAGAAGATGGTGCTCACGGCCGAGTAGGAGGGGAACAGGAGAGTGGGGACAGGGCCAGGACCCCACCCTGCACCCTCGGAAGAGGAACAAGGTCATGGGTGAGTGCAAGAAAGGCAGCAAGACTGTGGACAGGGCCAGAAGTGGAGGGAATGTGAGCAAGAGGAGACAGCAGCCCCCCTACAGGGTGAGGAGCTCCAGCCGGGCTGACAGAGAGCCTGGGCTGCCGCCACGCCTCTGCCTGGGCAGTCCCCCACCCACCATCCCCCCGACACGCTGGCATGAAGCCCCTCCCTCCAGCTTTGGGGCTCTCACAGTCAGTGGGGACTGGGCGGACTCCCGGGACGCCTGGTTTGGGCCACGTGCATCAGGTTCATGGACAGCCCTGTGCTCACCATGTGGGCAGCGCCATCGGACTTCAATTTCTCGGTGCCGCATGAAGGCAACATGGGAGCATGTCCCTGGGACCAGGGACGGCCCCCCCAGATCCTTCAGGGTGATCCCAGGAAGACAGCAAGACACCTCCCTCCCAGAATGTATGTCTGGGAAAGACCATCGAGCCCAGAAATGATGCTAAGAGGACCGACTCTCTGAAGGCCGCCCACAGGTCCTCCGAGGAGAGCATGGCTGCATCCTTGGGCATCACTTGAGGGCAGGGAGCCGCCCTGGGGCCCCCGGAAGCAGTGGGGGATGGGGAGGAGACAGTTCACCTCCCCAGACCCGGCTGGCCTAGGCCACCACAGCAGTGGGCAGGGCTGATGAGGCCCCTCCCAAGCCAGCAGCTCTAGTCACTGCTCCCCGCTGCTGTCACGGCCAGGACAGAAGCAGGCCACCAGTGCACACGCATGCACGCACGCACACTCATCCCTCCCCCCACAGGTGACTCCCAGGCAGCTTTCGATGACCCCAGTCTCTTTACATGACTGCTGACACTAGGAGAAACAGCGCATATCAGGAGTCACCGCGACCACAGCATGGATGAACCTCAGCTAAAAGACTGCATCAAATAGTCAACTTGAAACAAAGTCCCTCGAGAACTGGTGCCCCAATGTGTGCAACGATAAATGGACCAATAGTACTTATAAATCATATAACAAGTGGCTAATATGGGAAGCAGTTACTTGGCTCATTTAAAAAAAAAACAGTAATATACTTTGAATATATTACTTTACATTGATGCTGTTTTGGTTGCTTTAAGCAAAATAATAATAATAAAGTTCCTTCTTTCACAGTTGAGAACTATTGGTCCTCAAGGGTCCCCCAAGGGCAGGATGGGCGTGGGTTTTCCTGGGGGACTGCAGGCTGGCCTGTCAATCTGGGCTCCTCCATACCTTCTCATCACATCAATGTGTATTTTATCCTCAAACTGAATCTTATGATGATAGAAAGGATTAGAAAACATAGTGAGACTTTCTCCCTGAAATAAACATCTTCACGATAGACCGAAGGATGTTGGATTTCCATGAAAAGAAGCAATAAATAACCAAACAGTTTTAGGGTGTTGAAATACCTAAGCATTTCTTTCTCCTTCACTCTCCTCAGAGGCCCCCCTGAAATGTCCCCTCTTCACCCTGAGATGACCCCTCACCTTCTTGTGAGATGACATCACCCTTAACCCCGAAATGTCCCTTCTCTTCATGCTGAAATGTCCCCTCTCCTCACCGTGAGATGATCCATCTTCACCATAGATGGCCCCTCCCCTCACCCTGAGATGTCCCCTCTTCACCCTGAGATGCCCCCTCCCTCACCCTGAGATGACCCCTCCCTCACCCTGATCAGGATGACCCCTCCCTCACTTGAGATGACCCCTCCCTCACCCTGAGATGACCCCTCCCCTCACCCCGAGATGACTCCTCCCTCACCCTGATCAGGATGACCCCTCCCTCACATGAGATGACCCCTCCCTCACCCTGAGATGACCCCTCCCCTCACCTAAGATGCTCCCTCCCTCACCCTGAGATGACCACTCCCTCACCCCGAGATGCCCCCTCCCTCACCCTGAGATGACCCTCCCTCACCCTGAGATGTCCCCTCTTCACCCTGAGATGCCCCCTCCCTCACCCTGAGATGACCCTTCCCTCACCCCGAGATGACCCCTCCCCTCACCCTGATCAGGATGACCCCTCCCTCACCTGAGATGACCCCTCCCTCACTTGAGATGACCCCTCCCCTCACTTAAGATGCTCCCTCCCTCACCCTGAGATGACCCCTCCCTCACCCTGAGATGCTCCCTCCCTCACCCTGAGATGACCCCTCCCTCACCCTGAGATGCTCCCTCCCTCACCCTGAGATGACCCCTCCCTCACCCTGAGATGACCCCTCCCTCACCCTGAGATGCTCCCTCCCTCACCCTGAGATGACCCCTCCCTCACCCTGAGATGCTCCCTCCCTCACCCTGAGATGCTCCCTCCCTCACCCTGAGATGACCCCTCCCTCATCCTGAGATGACCCCTCCCTCATCCTGAGATGCTCCCTCCCTCACCCTGAGATGACCCCTCCCTCACCCTGAGATGCTCCCTCCCTCACCCTGAGATGCTCCCTCCCTCACCCTGAGATGACCCCTCCCTCACCCTGAGATGCCCCTCCCTCACCCTGATCAGGATGACCCCTCCCTCACCCTGAGATGACCCCTCCCTCACCCTGAGATGCTCCCTCCCTCACCCTGAGATGCTCCCTCCCTCACCCTGAGATGACCCCTCCCTCACCCTGAGATGCCCCTCCCTCACCCTGATCAGGATGACCCCTCCCTCACCCTGAGATGACCCCTCTCCTCACCCTGAATGACCCTCTCCTCACCCTGAGATGACCCCTCCCCTCTTCACCTGATTTTCCTGCTCCATGCCCTGTCCAAGGCCAAACTAAAAGCAGTGCCCACCTGTGGCTGAGCAGGCAGAGCTGTAGGGACCCCACGGGGACTCCAGGTGCAGAGAGCCCTGGGACCCTGGGGCTCTGGAGCACTCGTAGAGGCCCCGACGCCCCAGCTCTCCTGACACGTGCTCACCACTGTGGAGGCTTGGCCTCTGCCTGGACACGCTTCACAAGGCCCTGGTACCTTGACCCCAACTTGGGTTTCAGCTGCTGACCGGCTGGCCTCACCTCTCCTGCATCTGGGGATCCATGTGAGCCGTGGAGGGAAGAGACCACTAAGCTGTGACAGGCGCAGGGCTCTGGCCCCTCTCCTGCCCTCCCTGCTCCTCTAAGACAGGCTCTGCGGGGTGTGGTCACCACAGGGTGGGCAACAAGGTGAGTGCACCTCGGCCTGCCTACGGTGGGCAGCACTGACCACAGAGCACCTGTAGGCGTTGGCTTCAGCTGGGCTCCCCGTGACCACACAGCCAGCACAGTGAAGGGAAGGCCACCTGGCCTGGCTTACAGGAGCTCTCTCTCTGCTGGGGACAGGGTGGTAGAGAAAGAGTGACCCCGACAACCACACCTTGTCTCAGAGCGTTAGCCACACACGGCGCTCAGCGGCTCTCCTCACCTGCGGCAGGTGCAGCTGCAGGCCCTCGCTGGGGATGGGCTGGCGAGATGGGGTTTGATCCAAGTGCAAGTTAAAGATAGTCGCCAGGGCGGACTGCGCGGCCCGGGCCTTGGCCAGCTTTTTGTTCCTCCCAGAGCCTTCAAAGAACTGGCCGTCCACAACCACGGACATGACGAAGTTCTTGGCGTGGCTCTCCCCACTCTCTGAGAGGAAGTCGTACTTGAGTCCCGGGCGCAGCTCGTTCAAGATCATCACGGGGTTCTTCCCGCTGGGCGGCGGGAAAGGCGGGGGCCCAGGCAGGGGCGGCTGGGCCAGGCCGGCGGGCGCCGGGGATGCAGCCAGGCTGAGGTCCCCGCTGGAGCTGAAGGAATCGTCGCCATTGGAGCCCAGGTAGAAGGGCACCTCCGACCTGTCGGGCGTCTCGAAGCCGTTGAAGAGCGCGTCAGGGAAGTCGGCTTGGTCAGACGTAAAGTCCGCGTTGGTAGACAGGCTGCGGCCCATGGCCAGGTGGGCCTCGGACGCGTTGGGGAACTGGACAAATGAGCGCAGGGCCTTCTCAGCCGCATGCAGCTTGGCCTTCTTCTTCGTGGGGCCGGAGCCCTCAAACACCTGCCCGTTGACCTCGACAGACATGAGGAAAAGGGGCGCATGTACTGGCCCCGTCTGCGACAGCAGCGTGTACTGCAGACCGGGCTTGATCTCGTTCAGCTGCATCAGCGCGTTCTTGGGCAGTGCTGGCCCCGGCGCCCTCCTCCGCTTCTTCAGGCGGAACTTGGCATGGCCGTTGCTGCCCTCATCCAGGGCCCGCTTCCTGCTGGTGCCCCCGCTGCCCCCGTTGGAGAGCGGGGCACCCTCGCCAGGCCCTGGGGCGCTGCCGTCCTTGGGGGGCGCGCCGTCCATATTGCAGTTTTCCTTAACATCTGTGCTGCTCGAACCTGCGGTGCCCAGAAAGAGTAACTTACAACGCCTTCGTTGCAGGATCTTGTAAATGCAAAATTTATAGATTCCTTTATCTCTCTTTGTAACTGGTTAAGTGATGTGTGCTTATACATCTTATTCCTGGCTGTACTTTTAACCACAGAACTATCCGCCTACACTAGAACGAGCAATTTGATGTTCTGTTAAATAATGGCTAATCCTGTTTCTATTCAGTATCAACGACTGCTTTTGCATCAAAAGGTGAATCTTTAAATTGTCTTTTTCTATGAGAATATTCTGAAGCATCTAAAGTTATCTATTCAAGTTTCTCAAAATGTGGAATAAACTAATCCAAGAAGACCTTACATTAATAATCTAACATCAGTATCAACAAAGTGCCTTTTATTCTAGCATTTCCTCCTTTTCAAGGCTGTTTCTTATACCACACCCATATTGGGCTTTCAACTGCAGCCTTTCCAGAAGAGAAAACATGATTTAAAATACACATTCACAAGTCACTTAGTTTTTCTGGTTTAAAATATTCAATTAATATGTGCAGTTGTTTGATTTGGTTCATGGATAAGTCTTAGAAAACTGTTTATGTAAAGTGTTCTGGCCTTTTAGAAATTATTTTGAAGGACACAGCTTCTTCTTCTGGTGCTCAGTTAACATTTTTTCAATATGTTATGGGGACCGATTTGCCTCTGAATCCTTAATACACCCCATGATAGAAAAAAACATATAAGGCCAGACATGAAGACTGACATTGCTAGTGGTGGCCACAGCTTCCTAACTTTCCTGAGGCTGGCAATGTGCTCTTTTTTAGAAAAACAAATATTTGATGAAATTACAAAATAATTTGGTTATACTACCTTTTAAAGGTAGTTTATTTTCACAACTAATAAGTATAATTTTAGAACTCTAAAAGTTCATGGCAAAATAAATATGATTTTAATTTTTAAAAAAATGGGAATAAAAAAGCACTCACTCTTCCCTTTAAGTGCATCGAGCTTTTTGGAAAAGAGAAAAAGCAGTAGCTTCTTGGTTTCCTGGTCAGCTTGCGTAGGCCACTGGCTGCAGGAAGCACAGGGTTAATGGCCACCGGGCTTCACAATACTGTAGATATGAGTGTGCTTAAAGCCCTACTGCCACCTTTTGAGAATCCACAAGTGTTTTCAGCAATGGACTATTGCTCACAATCATAAGCTGGTTTACAGGTGCCCCATTAGGTGGCCCCTGCTCCAACTCTACTGTTTAATGTAAAAGATTCTGACTATGCTAAGGAGGCCGTTTTTATTATGTAACGTGAAAGTAGACTCTGACCACGCTGAGGATGGCCGTAAAGACCTTCGCCAGCTGGACCCATGCAAGGCACTTCACTCGGCAGCAGTCTGGGTCCCCGGCTGCCAGTGCCTACAGTTCAAGCTCCCGGGCTCCCGGGCTGCCATCCTCACCGAGATGCGAGAATGGTGCTTATGCAAACACAGCCACAGGGAGACTCACTCTATCTCTGCTGGCTGAGATTAGGACACTGCTAAGCATCCCCTGGTGTCTCAGACAGTAAAGAGTCTGCCTGCGGTGTGGAAGACCAGGGTTCGATCCCTGGGTCGGGAAGATCCCCTGGTGAAGGAAACGGCAACCCACTCCAGGATTCTTGCCTGGAAAACCTCATGGGTGGAGGAGCCTGGCAGGCTAGAGTCCATGGGGTCGCAAGGAGCTGGACATGACTGAGCGACTCCACTTTCACTTTTCAAGCCTTCCTATGACTCACTGTCTCCCAGGCACAACTGACGCACACACCACTTCTCCCAGTTGACAAAGCCGACGGAATGAACACTAAATTTTCATTTATAACATCCTCCAGCAAAAGCTCAATAGGTTACTCCTTTCGGTGCTCAAAGGAAACAGAAGGTTAGAGAGGGCAGAGCGAGACAGAGTTTAGATGAACAAGTGAGCGAGAACATGGCACACGGCACGGCTGCGTACTTTCTCATGTTACTGCTAAACAGAATGATCAGTAAAGAAGTCGAGTCATGATAAACATTCTGACATGCATTTAATCAAACGTTCATACTCTCTGAAACCAGTGCTTTCCTTGAAGAAGTAAAAATAGTGTTAATTATAGAAAAATACACTTTCTACAAGAGAGTTCACATAACTTCTACATACTTATGTGCTTCAGTTCACATGAATTCTACATTCTCATGTGCTTCAGAAGCTTGGAAATACTACTCATCCTCTACTTTCCTAAAAATGCTTCTACATAAAGGCAAATATAACACTAGAACTGCAAGAAGACATCCCACCCTGACAACTCTTCTTAAATAGATGCTTTCTATTTCCATATCATGCTATTTTATTTCATAAATGTGAATACTAATCATGATAAAAATGTTTCATTGCTTTCAAAATGACAGAAAAATATGGGACTGGCATTTCAGTTTCAGCACTAGAACCAGCAGCTTATCTTTCCAGAAAACGTATTCAGAAGGACTCACCCCCAGAGCAGTCTGGGGACAGTTACATAACCCACAGCATTGAGAAACTTTCTCCCAAACCTGACAGTCAGCACCATGGACGACAGCTCACAGTCCTGATGGCAGGGGGAGGGCTGCTTGGGCGACAGTGGGTGTGGGGAGTGGGTTGGCCCCAAAGCCCCCCAAGAGTGACTGCTGGGGCAGCAGCCTGGAGAAAGTGCAGGCAACCAGAGGCCGCACCCACGCCATGAGAGGAGGCGTTGCCACGTGGCCTGAAACCATACCTGGTCACGACTTCTCATGCCAGTGTCCCAGGGGTGGCCTCTCACATGAGGGCACACAATTGCAGGGTCACCCGGCAGAGACCCAGCAACCCACGGTACCCACTACCCTCGGGGACAGAGGCCTGGATTTTGTGGGCAGACATGACAGCCCCAATGCCTCGGCTACAGGCTTTGGGTGAGGCCGCAGGACACTGGGCTGAGGTGTGTCCTCATCCTGAGTGACCGTTCATCCCTGACACCTGCGGGCTCTTCCAGGGACACCTCAGCACACACAGGTAACAGGGAAGGGCACACACTAGACACACCAGAACTCTCAGGTCTCTGCTGTGACCTCCCTACAGAACACTCCCAGCCTCTGTGGGAACATTCAACCTGATCTAATGGCTCTGCTGCCCGGGATCAGCAACTAACAGAACAGAGAGGTGTGTCCACTGACCCTTTACAGGGAATAGCGTCAAGGGTGGGGCCAAGGTCCAGGGAGGGCAGTGAGGAGGGGCTTCAGCCAGCTCCAGCCCCGAGGCTCATCAAACAAGACCAAGAGACTCGTGTGAGCCCTTCCTTCAAAGCGCAGGACAGCCCACTGCATCTGAAGATTCTAGGCACTGTCACCTACACGGCTAGTCTCAGAGGCCACCTTAGATTTACACAGATGGAAATCAGGGCCATTGTTACGAGAAGCATGCAGGGACACAAAGCATGCGGCTTTATGGCGTGTGTGCCTGGAGGCTGGGCCCCTTCTTTCAGCCATATGCACTGGGGCCCCAGGGTGAAAAGAAGAATAAAAATTCAGACAAACCGCTATAAGGAAAACGCCCACAGCAGACTCCGAGACCTACTGTAGAGAATATATGAAAATTAAACACATGCCACTGTGAACAGGCTGTATCAAAGGAAAAAAAACCACCCTCCCCAAATCAGTCCCACTGCATAAATTTACAACACTAAGATTTTAATAGAAAAATGAGCCACTTGACACTACAGGATAGGCCTGGATCTTACTCATGTTTTCTTCATCTTCTACATCCATGGCAAAATACTCCTGAGGGTTTCTTGTCTGGCGGAGGCTGTTTCTGTCTGAAAGACATCAAGAAGAGCACATTGAGTGTACAAGTAATGTAAGTCTCCTCTGTGGGAAAATGGTAAGACAGGATGGTTAGGTCTGCCCTCTGGACAGCATTTTGACACTCCCACGTCCTGAGCATGTACCAGGAACCGCAGGGTCCTGGCCAGGACTCTGCAGCTGGAGTGGGGGTGGGGGGTGAAGCAGATTTCAGGCCACGTTGCAGAGGGCAGCCTGGATTCTGGGGGTCAGAACCATGGAGAGCTCCAAGCCAGGGCAGGATGAGGACCTATGCATCTATAGACTCCTCATCAAGACAGACCCCACAAAGAACTCAGGCCCAACTGCCACGTGATCTCTGCTCTGGGGAGACTTCAGTAGAGTTAAAGCTGTGGAGCAAGAACAAACACACCTCAGCATTCACCCCACCAGTCCCCTCTCATCTTGAGCAGCATCGCATGGATGACATTAAAAAGCAGGTAATTCATCAAATCTGATCTAATTTCTTAACCATGTATGACTTATTATTTTGTTGGCAGGAGAAACCACAGGAAATCCTCAAAGAACAATTATTCCAATTATATAATTTTTAACAAATTCAAGAGTTTCCTCTTCCTAAATATTTTGGCTGTGCTTTGCAGGATTATACTAACATATTTGCTGCTGTTTGGTTGCTAAGTCATGTCCGACTCTTTGCGGACCCAATCGACTGCAGCACGCCAGGCTTCTCTGTCCTCCATGATCTCCTGAAGTTTGCTCAAATTCACGTCTATTGAGTCGGTGGTGCCATCCAACCATCTCATCCTCTGCCACCCACTTCTCCTCTTGCCCTCAATCTTTCCCAGCATCAGGGTCTTTTCCAATGAGTTGGCTCTTCCCATCAGGTGGCCAAACTATTGGAACTTCAGCATCAGCCCTTTCAATGAGTATTCAGGGTTGATTTCCTTTAGGATTGACTGGTTTAATCTCCTTGCTGTCCAAGGGAAGACTCTCAAAAGTCTTCTCCGGCACCACAATTTGAAAGCATCAATTCTTCAGCAATCAGCCCTCTTTACAGTTCAACTCTGACATCATACATAACTACTGGAAAAACCATAGCTTTGACTATGGTGGCAAACTGATATCTCTGGATTTTATTTTTTTATTTTTTTTTATATCTCTGATTTTTAATATGCTGTCTATGTGTGACAAAGGTTTTCTTCTGAGGAGCAAGTATCTTAATTTCATGGCTATAGTCACTGTCCACAGTAATCTTGGAGCCCAAGAAAATAAAATCTGTCACTGTTTCCACTTCTTCCCTTTCTATTTCCCATGAAGTGATGGGATCAGATGCCATGACCTTTGTTTTTTGAATGTTGCATTTCAAAACAGCTTTTTCACTCTTCTCTCTCACCCTCATCAACAGGCTCTTTAGCTCCTCTTCACATTCTGCCATCAGAGCGGTATCACCTGCAGAGCTGAGGGTGGTGATATTTCTCCCGACAGTCTTGATTCCAGCTTGTGCTTCATCCAGTCCAGCATTTTGCATGATGTACTCTGCATATAAGTTTAAAAAGCAGGATGACAATATGTAGCCTTGACGTATTTCTTTCCCAATTTTGAACTAGTTAGCTGTTCCACGTCCGGTTATAATTGTTGCTTCTTGTCCTGCATACAGGTTTCTCAGGAGACAGGTAAGGTGTTCTGGTATCCCATCTCTTGAAGAATTTTCCATAGTTTCTTGTGATCCACACAGTCCAAGGCTTTAGCAATGAAGCAGAAGCAGATGTTTTTCTGGAATTTCCCTGCTTTCTCTATGATCTAACTGATGTTGGCAATTGGATCCCTGGTTCCTTTGCCTTTTTTAAACCCATAATAAAGACTCCCATCAAGTTGCCATTGAGGAAAAAAAGAGATTGGCAAATTTTGTAGTAATATGTTGCTTTGTATACAAATTAAATTATAAATCAGTAAAAGGCAAATTTATTGCTTTTAAGAAAATGGTGACTAAATGAGCTAAATCATGCTTATATCTTATACATCCCTCTCATATAACACATATATAAAATAGTTTCCATGACAATCATTTGTTGATAACATTAACCCTTACTGTGTATCTGGCAAATACACAGTTAAATGAGTTAAAAGTTAAATGGGTTTCTGTTTTTTGGCTGTGCCATGCAGCATGTGGGATCACAGTTCCCCAAGCAGAGATCGAACCTGGGCCCCTGCAGTGGAAGCACAGAGTGTTAACCACTGGGTTGCCAGAAGTCCCTATGAGTTTCTATTTAGACTCCTTTATTCAAGAAAGTGTTTCATATAATTTTTAAAGTACTAATATTTTATATTCATGAATTACTTCAACATATATTTTCTGAAAATTTACTATATGAAAAGCACAGTACTGGATACTATAAGAACCTAAAATGAATGACAGACCCCGCAACTGAGAAACTTAAATAAAAATATTGTCTGGATAGCTGACTATATTAAGGAATTACTTTTGATCATTTTAGGTGTGGAAATAGTGTTTTTATCTTTTGGTAATGTATAATCAAATACTTACAGATGAAATGGTACCTGGGATTTATTATAAAGATGAAATGCAGTGCAGTGGGAGAAAGTAGAGATGAAACTGAGGAGCTGGCAATGCTGGTGCTGCCGGGGATGTGGGGTTCAGGTTGCAGTTCTGTACTGGTGTGTGTTTTAACATTCCCACTATGGAGACTGTTACTAAAAGTAATTCCCTTGAGATCTACAATGGACATGAGTGCTGACCGCCCCTCACCCGGGTGAGGTATGGGTGCTCTGGGGAGCCTCGTGCGGTGGCTGCGCTGAGCCTGGAGGGGAGGGGCGTTTGGGAAGCCCAGAAGCTGAGTGAGAAAGGACTTACAAAGCGCTGCTGAGAGACTCGGAGGACCAGTCCTTGAAGCAACCACACAAGCCGTCCAAGCACCCTGCTCTCTCTGGCTGAGAGCTGGATTCAAAGCGGGCAGAGGGGCTCACGTGGTGGGAGGTCAGAGGGCACGTCCGTCCCCTCCCCTTCAGCCCGACTGAAAACCCCAGACGGCACAGCACAGCACAGCGAGGAGGCTCGGGCAGGGGTAAGGGAGAAGACGGCAGAGCAGCTGGGACCCGAGGATGGTGTGGCTGTGAGTCCCGTAGTCTTCTGTTTGCATCGCCACCCCAGACTTGGAGCTGAAGGCACCAGCAACCTGGAAGCACCAGTGAGCAGACCAAAACTCCCAACAAAACTGTCTCTCTGGCCAAGGGGCCAGGAGAGGCCCTCCCAGCGGGACAGGAGGCTGACAGACTGAACTGTCCCATTCCAGCCAGACCGCAGCCTCCCACCCAGCAGGAACATGGGGTGGGGGAGCCTTGAGTCCCATCCCCTCTGGGCTGTGATGACCCCTCCCACCCCACCTGCGATGCAGTCAGGGAGCAGAGCTGGGAGCCTGGACCACCCCCACCCCGTGGCACCCAGGTGCTTGCCCCCTCCTCGCTGGGGTGGCGCAGGAGGCCCCACCCAGCAGTGCCAGTGGAGGCCGGGGAGCCTGGACGTGCACTCCCACTGGCAGCAATGAGGCGGGTCTCCCCTCCTTTACAGAGAAACAGAGGGTCAGGCAGGATTCGGATCCGGTAACATAATACGTCCAGGTTGCACTCAAAGTCACTCACCAGACTGAGAACCTCAAACTGAATGAACGAAGGCAACAGACGCCTACCCCAGGACATCAGCAGTATCTGAGAAGGGCGTTCAAGCGGCAATCAAAACAGAAGTGGGAGGAACCAGGAACCAATCTCAACACAGCCTACACAGCCCACGTCACCAAGACAGACAGGCAGACCACACAGAACAGAACAGGGGACTCGGAGACCAGCCCGCACAGCATACTCATTCACTGTTGACAAAGGCAGAGGAGCCACACAGTGAGGGGAAGACAGCCTTGTCCACAGACAGCGCTGGGTCAGCCAGCCATCTCAGCTCACACCCGACACAGGCCCTTGGAATGAACCACAGGCTTAATACAAAGCATAAAACTAGAAAATATTCACAAGAATCATACCCCAAACTCAGGACTGGGCGAACAGTCTGCAGACTAGCCATCAAATCCATAGAAGAAGAGAAGGATAAACTGGAACCCATCAAAATTTAAGGCTTTTGCTCTGTTAACAACCCTGCTAAGAAGATGAAAAGACCAGCTATGGACTGTGAGCAGATAAGTGAAAACCAGGCATGCAACAAACAGAACAAAACTCTCAAGAACAGAACACACACTCACATGAGAAAGAGACATTTCACCAAAGAGTGCAGACAGACAGAAACACACGGGAAATGATGTCCATCGTCATCAGCCACAAGGGAAAGGGCCTGAGAACCACAAGCACCCACCACACACCTACGAGACGGCTGAAGCAGAGGACTGACGACCCCAAAGGCCAGCGAAGACAAGGGGAACTGGATCACCACACAGCCACTTGGGAACCGGCCTGGTGGGTTCTTAAAACCAAACACAGACAGCTATCCCAGAGAAATGAAGACTTACATTCACATAAAAAAAAAAACAACAGCATGGGAGAATGTTTACAGCAACTTTATTCATAACAGCCCCAACCCAGAGACAACCCAGATGCCCTTCTGCAGGTGCCCGGCTGGACACATGTGGACCGTCCACACCTGGAGCACCACAGACAATAAAAAGCAACCAACTGTCAACAAGCAACAACCTGGGTGAGTCTCCAGAGGACTCAGCTGAGCAGAAAAGCCAACCCAAGGGTCACATACGTTACACCTATTTACACACTGGGAGCCTCGGGCAAGCCAGGCTTGAACTGCATGGGTCACTCAGACACAGATTTCTCTCACTAAACGCACACTGCCCACTGCACACCCCAAGGCCGGCTGAGGCCAAGGACAGGGACACAGAAGGCCGACGACCCATTACATGGGTTTTTGACGGCAGCTCTGGTCGACACCCAACCCTGCACAGTTCAAGGGTCAACTTTCAAGAGTTCCTAAAATGAGACAATCATA